GACATCTTAATATGATTTAATATTAGTGTTAATAATGATTATATGAAAAGCAAAATGATGCCAATAGTTTATTATCATGAGAATTTTCTACAATAATACCTAAAGACATGACAAGCTCTGCTCTGTGTTTGATTTCAACAATATACATTTATATAAAATAAAAAGCAATACATCAATACATTTATATAAAACAATAAAAAAAAATAAATACACAAAAATAAAAAATTATGTACCTTTTGTTGTCAATAAACAACACCCTACCTTCTTTAGGAGAACCATACCATGCCAAACCACAACATTCACGTTCCCTCGTCTTGTAAAAAAATTAAAAAGATTCAATCGCGTCAACAAAATAACATTCTTCGTACAACCAACCATACACACGTAATAATTAGTCGTGCGCGTGCTTATGCCGATCAAAAACAAATTTCTTTCATTTTTTAAAAATGTTCAAACCATCAAATAAAAGAAGAAAAATCGATGTTTGGGAATCAGCGAAATCAACGAAAAAGTAAGTATTATAAAAAGAATGATTGTGATTATCTCCACTTGTCGTCCTTCTAGTTTAAAAAATAACAGTAGTTAACCTAATACATATTTGTTCATTTTTTCAGCACGACTATTATACAGTCCGATTTTAAATTTGAAGATATGGGCATTGGTGGATTGGACACAGAATTTGGTGCCATATTTCGTCGTGCATTTGCATCTAGAGTTTTTCCACCCGAATTAGTAGAAAAATTAGGCATTCAACACGTTAAAGGTTTTTAACATATTGACCTTAATATACATACATAAGGGATAAATAATACATTTTTTAATTTTTTATTTATATATTTAAAACTTGATTTTTCTTAGGTATTCTTCTTCATGGACCGCCTGGAACAGGGAAAACATTATTGGCTAGACAAATCGGAAAAATGTTAAATGTACAAGAATTAAAAGTTATTAATGGACCGGAAGTGTTGAATAAGTACGTAGGCCAATCTGAAGAAAATATTCGTCAATTGTTTGCTGATGCAGAAAGAGAATATAAGGAGAAAGGTGAAGATTCTGGGTTACATATAATAATATTTGATGAGTTAGATGCTATATGTAAGCGACGTGGCAGTGATGGAACCGGTAGAACTGGTGTTGGTGATAGTATTGTAAATCAGTTATTAGCAAAGGTTTATTTTTTTATTCTTTTTATTATTATAATAATAATAATATTATTATTATTATTGATTTATTAAGGAAATGATTCTTTAATCATATAGATGGATGGTGTTGAACAATTGAACAATATATTAATCATTGGTATGACTAATCAATTGGATATGATTGATGAGGCATTACTTCGTCCTGGTTGGTCTTATATTATTTATCTGTGTAAAAATAAAAATAAACCTTTTTTTAATCATGAATATTTTTTTGATTCTTAAAAGGTCGTTTGGAAGTTCACATGGAAATTAACTTACTAGATGAACAAGGAAGATTACAAATATTAAAAATTCATACTTCAAAGGTGAAAAAAAAATTTTTTTATTTGTTAGGTAAAAACAAATCAAATAATTGAGTAAGAACATTATTGTTTACTTTTTTGAATTTTAGATGAAAAAAAATAATATTTTGGATGTTGATGTTGATCTAGGTGAATTGGCTAGTTCGACCAAAAATTTTAGTGGTGCAGAAATCAGTGGACTTATTAAGAGTGCTAGTTCATTTGCATTTAATAGACATACCAAAATAGGAACACTTGCGGGAGTAAAACCAGATTTTCAAAATATGAAAATAAATAGAAATGATTTCCTGGAGGCATTGGATGAAGTGCATCCAGCTTATGGTGTTAGCAATGAAGAATTGCAACATTATATTCAAAATCAAATTATTTCATTTGCACCACATGTCAATGTAAGAATTAAAATATAATTACAGTTCCTCAATACCTATTAATATGTTTTCTTTAATGATGTTAATGTATTCTTTATTTGTTTAGAGGATATTGTCAGATGGGAAAATTTTTGTTGATCAAGTTAGAAGCAGTTCTAGTACTACACTTGTCAGTGTTCTGTTACATGGTATCAAAGTTTTTTATATATCATATAATGATGAAATTTATTACAATGTAGATTATCTTATTTAATATATATATATATTATTAGGACCTACTAACAGTGGCAAAACAGCATTGGCTGCTAGTATAGCACTGTCATCAGGATTTCCATTCATAAAATTAATTTCACCAGAAAATATGATTGGATATTCAGAATTGGCTAAAGTGGATGCAATAAACAAAGTATTTTTTTTTTTATTTGCTTTATTGATTGAAGCTTTTTTGATAAAGATTAAGATGAATATATAATTTATTAGATATTTAGTGATTCTTACAAATCACCGTTAAGTGTCATAGTTATAGATAACATTGAAAGATTAATAGGTATATCAACCTTTTTTTAAAAATGTTTACAAATGGATGACTTTATCAAACTCCTTATTTACTATATACTGTGCATATAAATGTTATATAGATTGGATACCTCTTGGACCAAGGTTTTCAAATTCTGTCGTACAGGCATTGTTAGTTTTGCTTAAAAAAAACCCACCAAAAGTAAGTAGTCATTAATAGAGAGATATATGTGTAAATATACGAAACATAAACCTTTTAAAAACAACTCCTTGATAAGTTGAAGCTAACCAACTAAATCTAAATTTCCTAGGGACATTGTCTCTTAACTTTAGCAACAACCAATAAAATATCTATTCTCAAAAAAATGGATATGTTGGATTGTTTCGATTCCGAAATCGAAGTGCCAAACATCACCACTTTGGCTTCGATCGGATGCATACTTAAAGAATCATCATTATTTAATGATACTGAAAGAGAAGAAGTTCTTGTCGCTCTCAAGAAAAACCATTTCAATATAGATATTGGTATTAAAAAATTGCTGAAAATAATCAACAGGAGTAGATTAGATGTTGATAAAGTAAATAAATTTGTTACTACTATCATTGGGACAGGAAAGGATTATTAATGCATGGTGTTTTTTACTGAGTATTTGGGCCTATTAATCTTACATCCAATATTTTATTATTTTAAATCACAAATTTATGGTCAAGATTTTGAACATAGTGAGATGCAAAAGTAAGAAAAAATCAATCAATCATTTATATTTTGATTTGTTTTATATATTTTAAATATATAGTAATGCTGTTTTTTAAAAAAATTATCTTGAATAAAAATAATTTAAAATTCAAAAATTAAATATTGATTAATTGATACTAACTATACATGAAGTCAAAATTAAAACCCCAATGTTTCGACTTGAGGCAACTACATAGTAATAGTAAAAATCAGTTTCAACCCTATTTCGACCCTATTTCAACCAGATCTGCAAATGGCCGAAATAGTTTCGACTTCATGTATAATGGTAACAGCCAATCCTGGTCTGAAAGGAAAATAAGGAATGTTTTGTCCAAAGCCTTCCAACATGTGTGGAACCTAGTCTGTGAAGAAAATTCCACAGTATGAGGTGTGTGAAAGCACTGCATTGCATGTTTGTGACAGGAAAATTTTAATTAAATCTGATCTGACACCTGTAATCAACATCAGATTTATGAACCATAACTGATAATCAGGAAGAATAATTTATTATTGTGAACCCAGAGATCTGGGAGACACACATTATTAAAAGTTTCATTTCTGCATGGCCTTGGTAT